CCTCCCTAGGTTTGTTTTTTTTACCAATGGCTGTTCCTTTCTCTCCGTGCCCAGATGCATATGAAGCATCCTAAACATCAGAAGGGTTAATTGACATCCCAGCAGAACACGGCTTGACAAGACCTGCCTGGCACCTGTAAAATAGCCTGGAAGCTTACATCCATCTTCACGTAATTGCCCCAAAGATCCCAACTGACCCCTCTTTACCTTGCAGCTGGAATTACAAGAAAGATGACAAATGTGCTTGGCCAAGGCTTAGTGGTCCCCCGAGAAGGCACCAACAGGTTTTTCCCCTGCAAAAAACACGTTGAGATGATTTTTCAAAAATCCTTTGGAAATCTTGCTTATGCCCTGATTGACTCAAGGGATGGAAACTATTTTCCATGGCAGGCGAGAAGGGCTTTGTTTTGCATAGTTCAGAACCATTCAGGTGAAAGGGAAATTAATTTAACTGCTTGCAGGGAAGGCCACGAAATCTATTTTTCTCCAAAAGATTAAGCATTCTGCTTTGCGCTTGGGCTCACGCTCAGAAGGGGGTGTGTGCGTGATTTTCTGCACTGTGAGTGAACTGCCTTCCTTTCTTAACTGGAGTGTTGTTTTTCTGTGTTTGGTTTATGGTGTGCATTGGGTTCATTCTCCACTCAGCAGCTGGAATATTGTGAAGGGTTAAAGCTGCAATGGGTTTTTAGCTGATGACTGTGAAATTACAGACCTTCATGGTGGTTCCAGGGCTAAACTGAACCAGTTGTCACTCAAATGGCTAAGAGAAGTGTCATCAACCTGATGCCTATGGTTGCTTTACATGGCCAGCTTCACCTGACTTTGTGTGTGTGTGTGTGTGTGTGTGTGTGTGCAAATCATTAAAAGCAACTCTGTTATGCTGCAAAGGGCCTGCCTCTAATAAAGTACAGTATGTGGCTGTAACTTCATGTTTTGTTTGGAAGTGTGCCTATGTCTCTGCCCAGAAAAGAGAATACAGAAGTAAGCTGGGGTTGAGGAAAGCAACTTGAATAAACTACAGAAGGTGTCACAGACCATACATTTTCTTTCCTTAAATGATTTGTGAATTCATGAGCTTCTCTATCGCAGCCTTTATGTGAGAGCGCTCATGACATCCTGCCTGTTATGGGCCTTCCAACATATACCCCCAACAGTTAAAACATGTTGCCAGTCCCTGTGCTGGGGGAAGATCCATACCTTAATGGGATTGCAAATCTACTTTGCATGCAGAAATTTCCAAGTTCACTTTTGGGAATCTTCAGGGATGATTAGAAACAGCTATCCAAGTTCAGAAAATGTTGGTTTGGTTGGTTGGAGAAAAAGGGCTTCCACAGGAGGAAAGACCTGCTCATGAGCAAGTCCCTCCTTAGGAGCAGTTCAGTGGCTTCTCTGTAGCTGAGCTCAGGTAGGGCTGTGAGAACTCCAGCTTAAAGGTTTTCGGTCTCATAACAGCCTTTGGGTTGTTGGCTTTGGTCTTTTTTGGGCTTCACCTTGGATCTTGTGTTTACAACTTCATCTCAAACTGGACAGGGGGAGTCACTCAAAACACAATGGTTGTGGTTAGACAACAAACTCCACAAGGTCAAAGACCTAGATCTGGATTCACACAACATGCTAGGCTTAATATTATTTTTTTTTTCTTTTTGGGTGCCATAGCATATTACATGGACCCAGCCTGTTTAGTTAGCTTATAGTTCAGTATATATGTGAACCCAAAGCATGAATTAATTCAGAAACCACATTAACCATGTTGTTTGAAGATAGCTAGCCCATATATTAATGCCCCACAATTTCTTCTGAAAGAGTGAACTGCAGAAAGGTCATATATGCCAGCTGAGGAAGTTCTTAATTTGAACAAATGAGATGATGTTCTTTGAACCCCATCAAAGTTTCCAAATTGCTTGCTTTTCTCAGTTATTAGGGGAGCCTTCTGCCTTTCCATTCTTGCTTCTCCTGTGGTCTTTCCTCAGGTTCTGGCTGCCATCTTGATTTTTTTTTTTTTACATCCCCCTCAGCCCAACTCTGTCAGGTTCATTGAAGCTAGGTCTGGCAGATATAATGAAGGAAATCTCTTAAGGACTCTGAGCAATGTTTTTTAAGGTTCCATCCTTGTCCTCAGCTCACCTTTCAAAAAGCAGAATATCTCCACTGAGAATCTTGCTATTTGCTCCTACCTACCTGGAATACAGTTACTACTTGGGCCAAAAATCAAGGCTGTAGAATACACTGGTCAGATCAAGTACCTAGCAAAACCCATGGTTTATGAATGAGGTTATTGGGTCAGACTAGCCAATGTTTCTTTCTCTTTAATGAACCACAGGGAAGCAAACTATGGTTTAGTGAGATATGTGAATCAACTGCCTATCTTACACTCAGATTATAGAAGTCAGTCTTGCGGAAGATCTGTTCCCCTTTCTGTTTGATAGCTAAACCCTTGTTTAGAAGAGTTTGGGGATACAAAAGGCTTGATGTGCTGATTTGTGGTTCTGTCTAACCACACTGAATTCTTTATTGCTAAAGGATGTTTTAATTGCTTTAATGGTTGTTGGCCTTCAGTGGCTTTTAACTTATTGTCTTGAGCAGACTTGTGTTCTTTATCTTCAAAGGAAAGGAAGGTAATAAATGGGTGAATGTCAGAACTTAAGGTGAATAAATACTCCTCACACACACACACACAAACCATTCCCTCAAACCTAGTAAGCTGCAGGCATCTCTCAAACTAGTGTGAAAATAATAATAAGGTGAAGAGCTTAAGGCTTCTTAGATGAAACACCTTCAACAAATCTTTGAAAACTTCAACTCTGCTCTGTGGCACTCTTGGGATTAAAACCCCACTGGCCTCCCTTGACTTATTCCTAACCAAGTATGCACACCTGAAAAGTAGCATTTCACTAGCTGTCACCATATCAACCTAGATTGTGTTCACACAACCCAATCAAGATCTAGTTTGCTTGTTCATGACTTAGCATGTTATGTGAATCCAACCTGTGTGATTTGTAAGTCATAGTTTATGATTTAGTAGGTTGTAGGATTTGAGCCAACTGCAATTTATTCAACAAATCATGGCTTAATGTGTAACATGGTCAATGTGTCATCTTCAAGAGACATAGGCTGAAGTCTTTCCCTCATGTGTCTTGGATAGGAAATATTTCCTGTTTCAGATGTTTAACTTCTATCTCCTTTGATTGGAAAAAATGTCAACGGTCCATCTATGAGAGTGCTGTTGCATGTGAAAAAGATGTGTCAAAGTTACTGGACTTCCCTGAAGAGTTAGTTTCCTCTTCCTGTCAGCTCTAGAAGCCCACAGAGATAAAAATTGGGACTTTGTTAAACTTATATTGCAAGGCAGTATATATAGCACACCCTCTTCTTCTTTTCCCTGCAACAGCCCTGTGAAGTAGGCTGGGCTGAAAGAGAGGGACTAGTCCAAAGTCTCCCAGGGAGCCTCTGTGGCTGAGGGGAGGGGGATTTGAACCTGGAAGTCCCCCCTTCTAATCCAACACCTTAACTATAGCACTACCTCTGTGTGTTGGTTTAGTCTCTGTATTCATCTATGGAAGCCAAGTTTTCATAGAGGGCCCTCTGGGGCTCTACGTTCTTCATAAGTAAAGTGTAAATGCGGAGTGGCCCTAACTGGTGTGTAGCTGTTGGATCCTGCTTTATCCCTGTTTTGAGGATGGATCACATTTGTTTCCCCTCCAATCACTTGGCTCTTCACTGCTTCTCCGGGATTCCTCTGTTCATACAGAAAGGACCATCAGCTCATGCTTTAAGTATTCTAAGATGCACTTCCACTAGCCCTGGAGATTGAAACTCATTTAAAGTAAAAATAAAGTACTCCTTGACCATGTTTCTATCAGTCTCAAGCTTTAATCCTGTTAGTTCAGCTGGCTTTTCTCAGTTTTCCTGGTGCAACACATTCTTTTTTGTTGGAGAACCCTAAACCAAAATAATCTTTGCCATTTTGGGATGCTTGTTAGTATTTTAACATCTTCATTGAGCAGCTGGTATATTTTCCCCTTTTTTATTTTGAACATCTCTAAAGAAGACCTTTCTGTTACTGTTAGCATCCTTTGCTAATGCCCACTCAGTCTAAGATTTATCTTCCAGACACCATCTCTTTACTTCCAATTACCCATCTGTAGTCTTCCTTGGTGACTTGTCTCTTTTTTAGAGTCCTTTTGTGTTTCAGTTTCTCATTAAGGATTTTGCGTAGTTCCACTGGGTTCTTCTAAGGTCCTCCATTTCTTTTTTTTCTATTGGATTTATTCATAGTTGTACTTTTGGTATCTCCTTTTTAAGGAACTCCTACCCATCTTTTCTACTTGTGACAGCTCTTTGAGAATGAGGAGAACATCCTGAGGAGCTAAAAGAGGTGGTAGGAAGCAATCTCATCAGTTCAACTTCTGGGAAATTTCTCATTGGCCAGGCCCTCCTTGGCTATGACATAAAATATTCTCCTAATTCCAAGCGTGTCCAAAGTGTGTGTGAGTTCCCCTGTTAGTGTTCCCATGTACCAAACAGTTACGTTTGCTTGGCTGGGCTGTAGATACTGTGTTCCATCTGTCCTACTTTTAACATCTTCCTGTGGCATCTAGAAAGTGGTTCTCAGCAGGACCCTCAAATTATCCATTGTAAGACAAGTTGGAGAATCCACAAACAGATTTAATTACGCAGCCAAACTGTTTTGCCTCCAATTCTATCCATCACACTACAAGTGTCTCCCTCCTTGCCTGTTTATTCCTGTAACTGTAGATCAGTGTTTCTCAACCTTGGCAACTTGAAGACGTGTGGACTTCAACTCCCAGAATTCCCCAGCCAGCATGGGGAAGCTGGCTGGGGAGTTCTGGGAGTTGAAGTCCACACGTCTTCAAGTTGCCAATGTTGAAAAACACTGGGCTATACTAACTGAGAAAAGACGTGTGGACTTCAACTCCCAGAATTCCCCAGCCAGCATGGGGAAGCTGGCTGGGGAGTTCTGGGAGTTGAAGTCCACACGTCTTCAAGTTGCCAATGTTGAAAAACACTGGGCTATACTAACTGAGAAAAGACGTGTGGACTTCAACTCCCAGAATTCCCCAGCCAGCATGGGGAAGCTGGCTGGGGAGTTCTGGGAGTTGAAGTCCACACGTCTTCAAGTTGCCATTGTTGAAAAACACTGGGCTATACTAACTGAGAATTTTGGGAGTTGCATCCCACCATATTTGGAGAGGTGACCCAGTTCACGGACTAAAGCAAGAGGTACTGAGAACAAACTGGTCCTAGTCTGGGATCCTCCAGAGGCTGAAATGGCTTTGGTAGAATCCAGATTGCTGGCTGGGGAATTCTGGGAGTCAAAGTCCACATATCTTAAAGTTGCCAAGGTTGAGAAACACCACTGTAGATATTCAATTCTGTTTTTGTGT